GACGATGTGGTGATAGTGTCCGCCTACTTTAGATACAACAAGCCTACGACGATGTTCACCGAATTACTGACAAGCATCAGCCTATCCAGTAAGCGCCTATTAATAGGGGCTGACTGTAACGGTCATTCTGTTAGATGGTTCAACAATGACACAAACAGAAGGGGGAAAACTGTTGAGGAAATGATCGAYGATCAAGAACTCGGCATTCTAAATACCCCTCAAGAGCTCAAAACATMCAAAAGACATGGCATGGGCGAGTCAAACATTGACATCACCTTGGCCACCATGGCGATTCGAAGTTTAGTGAGAGACTGGTCAGTGACCAATAGGATCGATAGCGATCATCGACTACTGGAAATGACACTTAGTCTCAAAAAATCAAAACACAAAAATTCTGGCATMAGGTTTAACACTGAAAAAGCAGACTGGAATAAGTTCAAACTAGTACTCCTGGGTCTCATGTCCCAGATTCAAGAGGACTCAGTTGAGGAAAGTGCAAATGGTCTAACTAAGGTTATTGTCCAAGCAGCGAAACTCTCCATGCCWATGCGTGGCAGGGCGAAGACCGGGCTCGTCATGCCTCCCTGGTGGACGGACGATCTAACCAAGTCAAAAAAGTCATTACAAAAAGCAAGACGGGAAGGTCTCCCTGAACTAAACAGACAGGCTTACCACCGTCTAAGAAACCAACACCTGCACAAAATAAGACTCGCTAAAATGACTTTATGGCGAGAATTTAGTTCAGACATGAACAGCAACCATTGGGGCAAATCATTTCGATGGGCAAAGAGTGGCTCACGGAAGAATCCAATGCCCTCTACGGTGAAGACCTGCACAGGGACATATACCACTGGCCTAAAAGATAYGCTGGATACGTTYCTTGAGGCTTATCTTCCCGAGGATCAGGAACCTCCAACCTTCACGCCTTACGATCATCAAGCAGATGATACGCCTGTTGACAGCACAACCGCTCAAGAAGTGAAAGAGGCTATATGGAAAATGAAGCCGAATAAGGCACCTGGGCTTGATGGAATCACCGCCAAGAT